CCAATCAAATCGTCTCTGCTAGGTGGATAGCCCACCTGCTCTTATTTTCTACTACTTTACTTCCCGTTTCATAACTTTCCTTCTATCTTTCCTCTTCTCTCCCGTCCTATGGCAAACCATTGCCATTTTTTCTCCATTATCATCATCACCTCTGCTATGCAGACGACTTACAGCTCATAGTAAGAGGAGCAAACAGACTAGTCAACACACACTCCAACTCATAGAAGAGGAGTGTAACAGACTTGGACTCAAGATAAATCCAGCCAAGTTCGAAAGCGATGGCCATTTGCAAAGACACACCAGACATGATGATCTCCATACAAAACACACTGGTAGTCTGGACCAACACCCACCAGTATGAGGGCCTGGGGTGCCACCATTTTATAAGGGCCTGAGTGTCAGTAACAATTCCCTTTACTCTCATACTTATTACCATTGGTAGCGTGACGAGAGGCTCGTGGGTATATGTAATGATAATATCAAGTAATAGGGAAGAAATAACGGTAAATACTGTAGGTAAATAATAGACACAATATACAAATACAAAATTTATTTAAACATTAATATGGATGTAGGAGAAAGCATATACATGTACCAACCGACGAAATCAGGTACTATGCCCTCAGGCTCAACATACTCGCACCACTACTGGGTGGACATACTCAATATCACTCACACCACTACTGGGTGGACATACTCAATAACACATAACTCTTATAGTCACTTAGCACCATAAAGACCAGGGGCAACTGCCACTACAACACTCAGTCGTCAGGAGTGATACTCAAGCAACCGCCATGGGGTCCTGCCACCATGGGGTACTTTCCGACGAACTCTGAAGATCCCAGTGGATTAACCCCACCACACAAATAGCCCTACTGAGTTAGACACTCATCCACCAATGATGGGGGCCGGTAGTGGTGTGTGGCTTGGTGATCCAGGGTCACCTCGCAGGCCGAGCGTTAGGGCCAGACGAGCCAGCTATGGGGGCCATAGGTAGTCTGAAGTGTCTGACGGTCGGGTCTCACGAAGGTAACTGATCCTACTGGACCTCGGACATCTCCCCAGACATAATGGATACAACATCCACGCTACAGACACGGCCTAGGCTGCATTAGGGACCTGTATGGGTGAAGGGCGAGCACTTACTAACAGTGATAACGACATCACATTTCAGGGGACGTTAAAGACGTAAATATGACTTCACTCAGAGCATATCAACTACGTTACTGTAACACTTGCACAATCAACTATTAATTGGGTCAAATCACTTAAAGAAGGGAGAATTACAACACAGAGTGGAATGGCCTACGGCACCCTCACTCAAAATAGGCCAGGGAGTCCACCTACTTCTATTTCGATGAATTAATTTACTGTACACTCTGACGTTGAAACTGAGACTATGAACTCAGTTTCATTCCCTACTATTATCCTCACTAACAATGCTCTGACTGAGCTATCAAAAGCAAAATTAAATTGATAACAAAGGGTTGGATGGCAACAGGTCCCAACATACAGTGTCTTGCTACAAAATCCGCAGATTATATTCAAAGTTCCCTTTAGACAAAGACGGCCTATCGATGACGTCATCAAGGAAACAGAGAAAACGGGGGACGTTTCCACTGGGGGACTCGGAAGGTTTTGTGGACGTTTGAGCGTAATATGAATCCTTAAGGTTTTCAGGTTAGCCGTCATCACGATCATGACACCAGTGTCTTGGAATCTGGTTCAACCAGAAACTCACTTTCAAGCCGCAACTCGAGTATCTCGGACACAGGATGAAGAGCAGACACAATATAATGAGGTCGCTCACCAGCACAACCGCAGGAGCGAACATACACGTGCTTAAAGCCTACTACACAGCCGCCATCAGATCGCTGGTAGATTACAGAGCTCCAGTGCTCATTGGACTGAGAGAAGACCAGATAGCTAAGCTAGAAGTTATCCAAAATAATTCTCTCAGGACCATGCTCGGAGCACCCATGTGGACCAGAATTTGCAATTTGCAAATGGAAACTGAACTACCACCCCTGGCAGTACAAGTCATGCAGGTGACAGCCGGTCTCCTCGCCAAAATCTGCAGATCAGATAAGCCCACAGCTGCCAAAACGCGAGTCAGTGCCTCCCTCCACCTCGACCACAGAGTGCGAGGGGCCACCTGGTCACAGGAGGCAAGCGAGGTCATGAGGCACCTGCAAGCAGAAACACTCGTCAAGAGCAACCAAGATATACGAGACAGGGATTATGTAGTTCCACCACCATGGAGCCCTCCACCAGCCACATTCAAAATCACAGTGTAAGGGCGTTCCTTACTTCATACTATTTCATACTTATTCTTTTTTGTTATTATTCTTCAATACTTTTATATTCTTTATATTCTTGCTTGTATTCTTATATAAGTATCTCTTATATTTCTTTGCTTATATTTTTCCAGTCAATATTCTGTTCTTTACTTCATTTCTTGTTTCATATATGT